CCCAAAAAAAAAACCCCCCCCCCCCATCGTCACTATCCGTGTAATCGATAATAATTGTAATGGAAAAAAAAAAAAATAAGAATGCTAGCGATCTAAGTTTATTGCCAAAATTCGTTTTCTTTTTAACGATGTCAGACTCCATAGTAGGATTACAGCCTAGTAGGACAATCATACGCGCTTTGGCGTTAGGTTAGGTTAAGTTAGGTCTAGCCTATAGATTTCCCGTAGTCGTAAAAGCATTGAACGAGGAGAAAGAGTTGGTGGGGAAAAAAAAAACACAAAAATTGGAAAAATTGTGAAACAGAAAGATTTCGGGTCAATGAGTCCTCGCTGTAATTTTCGAACCGATTTCTTATAGCGTATTCGATTGGCAGGATCTTTGGGCACGTATGAAGTTTTTTCTTATATAAAATTCAAATTTTTGGATTGCACTCTATTTTTTGTGTGCACTTCGATTGGATTTACCTACCGAGTACAGTCTATGGTATTAGGTCGGTGGGAATTTTACACGTTACTGTAACTTAATATTGTATATCTCGAGAACTATTGCAGTTAGCGAACGAGCCTCGTACTTTTTTACGTTTATTTCTAGTAAAAGATACACACCGCAAACAATTGTAAAATCAGGGGTTTTGAGAAATCGTAATTTCACCTTATTCGGTGTAGACAGTGCAGAGCTGGGGGGTGCCACTCCCACTTGGTGGAGGACTTTCAGTCTACAGATCATCCGCATAACCTGCACCTCGAATTCCGTGCAAAAAATGTTGACCAATCGAAAACGCTATTGAGAAAGGATAAGAAGAGATTTCTTCCTTACCGACTGGGAGGAGAATCTGACGATCAGAATCGTATGTGATTGCTTGTTGGAATTTTCAATTCTTTCGAATTTTTATTCTTTACTGTCTCATCGTTGTAACCCGCTACGGTGCAATATATTCGTATTTCTTGAACGAGTGAATTTGTAACGGGATGCGTTTATTATCAGCGACACTGGTCAGGGCTGTATATACACTTTTGAGTTAAAAAAAAAGAGCATGCACTTATTATACTGTTACGAATGCTAGAACGTAGACAGAGCCCTGCTAGTGTTGCTATTGCGCGATATTTGTAATATGATGCATGAATGACGGATGAGACTTGGGAGGCGAGAAGATGGTGAATAGAAAAAAGAGAGAGAGAGAGAGAGAGAGAGAGAGAGAGAGAGAGAGAAAGAGAGCGCGAATGTTAACAAAATTGGAGATGCTAGAACAAACGGATGAATGAATTTTAAATTTGAATGAGAGAGTATGCGCGCGCATTGTGATTCTTAAAAGTAACGTGAACGTAACGTTTTATCTTCGGAGTTATGATGTTGTATAATTGCAAGGTCGTCAATTTTTGCCTGACTTAAATATATAAATAATATACACGAGCGAAGAATTGATAATTATAAACTATTACGATGAATGACATTATATAGTGTAATAATACGATACTGATGCATCATCACCTTTTGTATCATTTGTTCGTTTGATTTTATCTTAATGCGTTTGTCTTTTATTATTAATGTAATACCAAGATGACTCGGATTTGACGGTATCTTGTGTGTAAATATACTAATAAATATTACAAATATGATAACCGCCTTTTGCGCTTTCTTTTCGTACCTTTCACTTTCTTCGTGCTTGTCACACCTCGGACATACGTTTTTGTGCCACAAATTGATAATCAGGGAAAATTTAGTTAGGGTTTTTTGGACTTTTACTGAATATGTAAATAGACTGGACATCTTATGGGATATGGTGATACGCTGGCCTGGATGTCGCGGACATAAATGAATTTTAATAATTGAAATTGTATCTATAGATATATATTATACTATCATAATTGCGAGGCACAAAATACACTAGCATGTTTAGTCTATTTATATTAAATCAAAGATATCACAGTTTATCCACGTTAACTAACCAAAGAATTAGGAAAAGCAAGATAAAACTGAACGAGAACAGAACAAAAAGAAGAAGGCAGAAAGACAGAAATAAGGAAAGTAAATAGTACGTTAAGATATACATTTTTAGCTTTGCTAAAAATGGTCCAACTTGTCGTTGACTCTATGGGTAGAGACGATCGTATGTGCCGGTTGGGAGGTCGTGCGGGGTAGTCCGTTGACTCTGGGTAAAGTCCTAATTGTGCTTGTGCTTGGGGGTCTTCTTTTCTCGCTCCTTCAGAATAATCTGATTCTCGTACATAGGTTTTACGCATCTTCCTCTCTCCATGTTCTGTCAGTCCTTATCATCTCTCTTCTTCACTCTTTGTTTTTAACAATCTTCCTCTTTTTCCCTTCAACATCATCCCTGGTTGCTGTCACAAAATGTTTCCATTCTATTTTTTTAAGTTTCCTGTTCTTTCCTATGTCGCCATCCCTCTCTTCTAGTATATCCTTCAAAACTAAGTTGTTAAAAAGTTCTTTGGAAAAGGAAAAGTCCAAAGTGGTAGCTCATATAACATACTACACGTATATTATATTGCAGTGATATATTTAAAATATATCTCTAATGGCATTGTTATTACTAATCTTTTGCGAGCTATATATGTACATCTGTATTTTGTATACTGTATCATTATTGCGTTTATTTAATAAATTATCTTGTAACACTTATACACGTTAATATTCTTTTGCCCTATGCGAATATCCCAGAGTACGAATGAGTTCTGTCTCTCTCTTACTCTCCTCCGTCCTAACTGCATCCTTCATCTACTCCTAATATAGTTTGAAATTTCATTCTCGAAATTGCACCTCTGGGAGGCTGTATCTCGAAAACGGCTGGGTTTGGAGCTTTTTCTTTGAAATTTTAAAAGATCTCTTAATGCAGAAAGTTAGAATGGTCCATAGAAGAGGCTGATACAGTTTAGATTGCGATAGGGCCACTTTCAAAAAATTCCCTTACATTTTGGTACTCGCACACTTTTTTTTTGAATTTTTAAATTATCAAGCATTCATTGTAAAGAATTACCATTAGTTCAAATTTTCCCCGATAAGGGGGCAGCACCTCCTGGGCATGATATGTGGCGCCATCTCTGAGAGAACGAG